GGATAAAGAATCTTTCATCACTTTGGGGTTGCCGCCACTTGTTGAAATCTGTCCTGTGTAACTGTTGCTCTTGGTTTCTGTGCCCATTCTATTGTATTATATATGTGAAATACGAAAGTGTCAGGTCGGGTCATACACATAAAACAACAATATCAACAGCAAGTATAATGAGTAAGTAGCGTTAAAAACTAATCCGAATACAAAACGAACCGATAACCCAACTACCAAGGTTCCCCCAACCCACAGCCCACCAGTAGCAGTATCCAGTAAGTATACTACGCCCATGTCCTCTCACTCATGCGCACCGATACCAAAGGTACGTACAACAACCGTAAACCAGTTAGCAGAGTAATAAAAAAATATTTTTATTAAACTAAAAAACGTTTGCTATAAAAGAAAAAAAAAATGACGATCACACTTTTAGGGTCTACAGTTTCTGAAACACAATTATGAGACAAATTACGAGACGGATTATTCGTATTAAGAATAATTTTAAATTGTTAATAGATTTTTTGTATTAATTGTCCACTAGTTAGGATTACCACAAATCGATAGATCTCGACGTAGGCTTTAATATAATATTTAAATTTTTTCTGTTTTTATTGTTGTTTTTATTGTTGTTGACTTAATAGGTGACTTCTTTGCAAACGTCTCCGAAATTTTAACCAATTATGAACATTTCATTTATTTTGAGTAAAACAAGTTCTGAACATGATATTTATAACATGGAAGTTGTGGAAAAATCTTTTCAATTATTTCATTGTGTGTGTCTTAATAGTTTTAGTTTTTTTAACTTGTAAAATCCTAAAATTGTTAAACATAAAAACTATTATATAAAATTAAAAAAAAATTAAATGATTAAAATATATTTAAGTTTTTTTCCACAATATTGGAAAACTTTAGTAACACGGACAACTCCCAATTTTTAAAGCTCAAAAATGGGAAAAACTTTTTTGGTATATACTGGACGACTAATTCAATGAATTGCTGAAAAATACATTTATAGCAATTGAGGGATGACCCAAAATGTTTACAGCTGAAATTTCCAATTAGCTGTTTCAGCAAGCTAAAGCCCTTTGTTTGTCTCGGCTTTTGATTGATTTCTAGGAAATTACCTAGGAAAAGCAACAAGTTCAACTATTGGATTTATTAACAAGCAATAGACTTAGTAAACTTCTTTATTTGTATATATTGCACTAGTTTGTGATTACTTTCATATTGGGAACAGTGTTGCGTTCCCAATTTTAGTAGAAAAGAGCGATTTCCCTGGCTTTTCAGCAATTCAACAAAATTTTTAGCAGCCCCTGGGTTGCTTAAATGTTTAAATTTCAGAAAGTTGAAGTTGTATGGAACAGCTGACGAACAACTAACTGAATTTCCCAAATTGTTTTACAGCTCGCTAAATCTACCCGATATTGTATATCTGCTAGAATTTTCCACAGCCGGAAAAAATTTATACTAACTCGAGTAGGCAACTTGGGAATATGGCAAATACATAGGTCAAACCAGTCAATAGGATCGTCGAGTGTTAATACAATTTAAGATCGTAGCTTCTTAAATGAATTGGAACTGAAATAGTTTTTGGGTGTTCCCGAAACGTTTGAGTCTCTGAATTGCTAAAAATTCAGCAGATATATACTGAAATTCGGTCAGCGGTTTGTCAGCTGTTCCATACAAATTCAACTTGCTGAAATTTCATCAGTTCAGCAACTGTTCAGTACATTTCTGCTGAACTTTCAGCAATACATTCCGATTCAGACTTTTCGGGAGTACCCAATTTTTGTTGATATTACTTGTAAAATAGTGTGTGAAACCATTTCCCAAACCCCTTGGATCCAGATCCGCTCCTGGAGCGGGGGAATGCAGGCACACACTTGCAGACTTAAATAGGGCGTTTAACGTTAATGCTTGTGAGTACGCAGGCCATGCACTCCACGGAAATCATGTGTTGACCAACTCAGATAAAATCCCTGGGCCCAGATGCAGGTAATTCGGTCATAATCACGCGACATTCGGTTTTGCTACGATATTAACATGCTTTTTTCGCAGCCAGGCCAAAAATTTGTTTAGAGTTTATGCATACAGGCAATATGTGCGTGCCAGCAAATACTGCATGTGTGTGCATACGCAGTGTTTGGGGCCCTGTGCACGAGCCGAGTTCCCACCTCGTTTTTTGGCAGGTCCTGTATGCTTTGGTACCCAGTCATGGGATTGAACCTGACACTTTCGGTAAAAGGTCGGAATTTAAAAAACCACGTACATATACATAGGTAGTTGCTCTTTTGCGCTTCCCCAGGCGATAAAATCAAAAACCCACATGAGAACTCGGCTCGTGTAAGGCGGCCTTTATAGCGTTCTGGGTTAAGAACCCCCGCTATCGCGACCCCTGCCCTACCCTCGCCGACCGACCACAATCCAACAACCGAACAATCCTTTTTCAGCCCGTGGGATGCTGGTGGAATTGCAATTCCAAACTTTTAATTTCGATTCGGTTCTGATTCGATTCGTGTTCGCATGCAATTTTCAAAACGACAAACAAGGTAAAATAAAATAAAATGTGTACCAATATGTCAAGCGTCAACGAATGCAAACGCACACTGAGGTGAATTGTTAGTTGTCTACACACGTTACCTTCGGGTATTGATTGTTTTTTAAAAGAAAACACAAAAAAAAAGCCGCGAAAATCACACAACCAGATTATTGATTTTGGCCCCCGCTGGATTTGGCGCACACAAAAATTCGACTGGGAACAGCGGGCGATGTAGGCTGTGGTTGACTTGGCGAATAAAGTGGGACCGCGATAGAGGTGGAGAAACATCGATGCCAACATCGATGAAACCGATTATTTCAAAACATCGGTTTCATCGATGTTTGGCGGGGCACCATCGATATTTGTCCATCTCTACTCTGCTTCCGATCTGCCGCAGCGGTGCCCAATATTCGTCGTCTACTAACATAAATGTTAGGAAAACGACGACTAAAGCTCTGAAAATCCACTTTTTGTACAAATTTCATATATGTATTTGAATTATTAGTTCTAGTTTTAAACCAAAATTTTTAGAACACGACGTTTTTCTAATAACTCCACAAAAAGTGAGTTTCCTATCGATAACGATACAAAATCCATTACACCAAAAAACTTTTACATTTGACACATATTTTCATATTTGCACAATGTTTATTGTTTAAGCTAGAAAAAGCCTATGAGAGAAAGCGAGAGGCAAATAACGGGCGAACACTTCTCCACAGTGCCTTTTTGCACGTCGGTACTCAGATCGACGGAAAAAATACTAAAAATGTGCAGAGCGTTGCCAGACGCCAGTTTTTAGTATATTCAGAAAATAATGCATATCCTCATGGATATTTTGTGTTTTTTGAAAGCACTAACTTTCGAGTTTTATAACCTAGTTTCACTTATGTGAGTTTTCTATCCATATCGGACGCATTGGCTGCCTGAAGGAAAATGACGGTTGTTTATTTTTATAAGTAAAAGCGACAAAACAAACAAAATCTGGTAGCAACATTGCCTATCCAAGCGAAACGGGTAGGATTTTTGAACTGGTTTTTCCACAGAGCCACCATCACCAGTCCGTCAAAAGTCACAGTGGCGTAATCATAATTATTTTATTTTGAACGGGGTCTTTAATTTTATCAAACTGTTTAAGAAGTACTTTTTCTTTCTTTTATTTTATTTTAATACTATGGATTAGTAGCTTAATTCCCTTTTCCCACACAGTCCCTCCGTGGGAAACAGTTGGGATTCTCACAGATCACATCCACCATCCGATAACAGCTAGTCCGAACAGCTGTGGCTCGTAAAGCATAAGCAAAGTCAACAGGTCAACCATATTTGAGCCTAGTACTCAGATCGACGAAACAAGTTTGCCGCCTATGAGGGAGAACGAGAGGCAATAACCGGCGGACTCAAATCGACGGAAAAATATACTAGAAATGTGCAGAGCGTTGCCAGACGTCTGGGATGAACTCTCGATGAATGTTTGTCAGGCCCTGGCGAAAAGAATACAAAATTTAATCTTTAAGCCGCCATTCCAATACCAAATTTAAATCTAGCATCCTTTATATTCAACATCTTTGATTTTGCTTTCTCAAATTAATTTGTTTACTGTTTGACAGTATGATCGAAGCACACGAATGAATCTGGGTGAATCTGATAGTATATTCAGAAACTTCGGTCTCACTAGAACTAATAAAGATTTTTCGCTGGCGAAAATGTTCATCGATCTGAGTACTAGGCTTATGTTTTTATGATAAGCCCCAGATGTTAAGGGCAACTGTTAAGTGATGGTGGATGTGCTCTGTGGAAAACGGAATTTCACATTTGTCAAAAATTCCATCCGTTTCCAACGGATGAACTGTGTGGAAAGAGGACATAAGAAGAGGTTGAAACAGTTCGATACATCGTTATAGCGTCTGCACTCAGCCGCTTAAAAGAGTTGTAGCGAAAAAGTTGAAGCGACCCATTTACACAGGCATAAACAGCTGATCGACGTACTAAAAGAAAACAAACCTTAAAAGAACAAGAAGAGAACACAAAATTCCATTTTCCCGACAAAAAATGGATATTAACGCAAAGCTAAATACAATTTTGGCATTCGCAAGTGGAAAGTTTTTCCTTTGCTAATAATTTATCTACTGATGTTGGCCTTTGATGGATGATATATCCCTTGAATCCGCAGACTTGGTCAAAATGCATCTCCATTTCCAAAAAATCCAAAAGGAGTCAAGTAAAAATCATCCAAATACCTAAAAAATACTGAATCACAACCGAAAGCTGTCCGTCTGAATGGGCTATTAGTTTTAGTTTTTCAACTGTATCAAGCATTTTCAACCCTGTTTTTGAAAACTTTGCCCTAACTTAATTTGAAACCATAATCCTTGATGTTTCAGGAACATGTTATCAAATAAAACAATCAAAAATTGGTTCATGGAAATAAGTATTTTGCCTATTGTAAGAATGCAATTAAAGAGTCCAACAGATATTCCGTTTAATGAACGATGACACATGTATTTTATACATATCATATAGTTTTATACCGTTATACAAAGTTCCAAAGAATAGAAAATTATTAGTTAAAAAAAATTGCATTCGGGCTGCCGAAGCTAGGGGTTGAAGCGTTTTCCAAGTCAAAGCCATCTGCTCTAATAAGCAGGAATAGTGGGGGCTTTACAACAGTGCCACCATGTAGATTTGGAAAACAGTTCAAAGAAGGCCTTCCCTCGAAGAGTGCCAACTGAGTGTTACTTTTTCTGTTTCTTCTTTTCAAGCTCCTCCTCCTTCTCCTTCTCAATGATCTTAACGTACTCGGCGATGACTTTGCTGTCCAGCATTTTCAGTGGTTTGCCATTTTCCATGATGGCTACCTCCAGATTGTTCTGGCCAGACTGGGCCACCTCGAGGAGGGCGCGGATAGCCAGCTTGACGGCTCCGCGCTCGGTGCTCACCTCCTCCTCGCGGTAGGTCTTCTCGAAGAACTCGCGCACCACTTTCGCCGAGCGCCCGGTGGCGTTTGCCTTGTACTCGTAGAAAATTCCGGACGGTTCGGTCTGGAACAGATGTGCAGAACCGTCGGCATCGAAGCCGCCAATAAGGCAGGATATTCCGAAGGGACGGCGGCCATTGCTCTGCGTATACTTCTGCTTCAGCTGAGCAATGTATCTGTAAAGCAAAGCGAAGCAAATCAGCCATCAGAACCACTGTGGAGGAACAGCTTCCACTCCGATGCCTACCTGGTGATGTACTCGAGGGTCACCGGATCCTCTACGTTGAGGCGATGGCTCTGGCACTCGACCTGGGCGCGGTTAATAAGGATACGTGCATCGGCCGTGAGACCGGCAAAGGCCATCACAACGTGGTGGTCGAGCATGCAGATCTTGCGCACCGTGCGATCCTCCTGCAACTTGGCCACCGACTTTTTCTCCACACCAAGTACCACGCAGTTGGCCCCTCGAACGCCGACCTGTGCGACAAGTCCAAGATTGAGTCGGCTTGCACGGGAATGTTTTTCGAAAAGTCATTCGGTACTTACCGCTGTCGAGCCCTTGCGGACCGCCTCCTGGGCGTACTCGACCTGCAGGAGGTGGCCGTCCGGCGAGAATATGGTTACAGCCCGATCGTAACGCGAGGACATCTTTTGGTTTTATTTAGCAGCTGAGGTATTTCCACAATTATAAGTCTTTAGAATTTCCCTTGTCGTCTCCGGCAGGCCAGGGCAATGATGATGCTTTTTTGAGGAAATGCCGCAGTGTGACCGCAGCACGAACACCGCTTTTAAACATATCGTAATATCGGTTGGCAGACCACTGAAAACTATCGCTTTTAAAAAGCTAGATATTTTGTACATTTTATTTTGCGCTGTTTTTCGTTCGCTGTTTGTTCTTCGGTAAAATATTAACAATAGAAAATTAAACCAAAATTATATTAATAAAATACATTTTCTCTCTAGTCAGAAATTGCGAAAGCAAGCGGTTGAAATAGTAAGCCTAGAACTTAGATCGACGAAGTCTGTTCGTTAGCTATGAGAGAGAGCGAGAGGCAAAAACTGGCGAACACTTTTTGACAAGGTCTTTGTACAACCCGGTACTCAGATCGACGAAAACCGCTATATAATTTTCTCGTATTTGTTCGTTGATCTGAGTACCGGGGTGTAAAAAGACCCTGTCGATAAGTGTACGACAGATTTTTGCCTGTTTTGATATCATCGATCTGAGTACTATGTTTAAAAAGCAAGCATATAATTATTTCAATTTTTTTTCAGTCCTGAACTATTCTTTTGAGTCTGAGGCCCTGGCAGTGCAGCTTATCGATAGTTGCTGCAGCCCTTATCGTCACTGTAATTACAATGAGGATTTGTTTTTGTCCACCAGATATTACGAGTTTACAAATAGATTATATGTGTTTGTAAAATGCGACTGCGGTAATATGGGCTTATAATCGTGTTATACCGTATGTGATTTTGTTTCAGTGCGTTTCGTGTTCGTTTTGGTTTTGCGTAAAAAGACCAGGCAGCTGGTCACAAACCAGCTCACACCTGCTACAAAAAGATAATAATTATTTGAAAGGTCGGAATTTAAAGGGATTTTAGCAGCTGTCATCATATTTATATACCGCCAATTTGATTGATTATGGCGCTGCCAAGAAAACTGATATCAAAGATCTGTAAGTAAAACAATGTTCGCAAGTACCGTTGTATATTCCCAAAACAGTACAATAAGCCTCCGCTTTTGTTGTGTGCGTCATGTGTGTGTGTATGGTATAGTGTTATAGTAGATTCACACATTTTAAAAAACGGGTCCTTGTAAGCTATGGCAACACGGCCAGCAGGCAATAGAATAAATAAACTGTGGTAAATAAAGAATTGTAACAGTGCCCTTTGTAAAACATTAAATTGTTTACAAAATTGTATTACAGACCTCAACTATTCTATTGAATCTCGAGGCCCTGGCAGCGGTGTTCATCGATAGTTACTGCAGCCCTCCTCGTCGCTGTAATTACAATGTGCATTTGTTTGTGTTCAACAGCATTGTCCGAATTTACAGTTTGTTTTTATGTTTTTGTAAAATGCGATCGCGGTGATATCGGTTTAAAAAGGTGTTGTTCCCGATGTGATTTTGTTTAAGTGCGTTTCGTGTTCGTTTGGAGTCGGTTTTGCAAAAAAGTCCAGACAGCTGATCACAGACCAGCTCACACCTGCTACAAAAAGATAATATTTATTTTAAAGGCTGTCATTTAAAGGGAAAAAGGCAGCTGCCGTCTCATTTTTATAAAAACAATTTGATTGATTATGGCGCTGCAAAGAAAACTGATATCGAAGATCTGTAAGTAAAACGAATGTTTGAAAGTACCGTTGTATGTTCCCACACACACACAAACAATAAGCCTCCTCTTTAGTTGTGTGCGGCGTACGTGAGCCTGAGTGTGTCCAATGTGTATGTGTGTGTTCTGTAAAGTACCACAGTAGATTATAAAGTTGCAAGCATCTTCTGCACATTTCGAAACATTACCACGCGTTCTTGTAAACAATAGGCAGCAGCCAATAAGAATACGGCTTATGTACTACCAGCTGCAGGCCAAAATTTAGCGTTAAAGTAACTTAATATACATATATTGTGGCCAACAATATCATTGACAAGTTTAGTAAGAAGTGATTGATAATGACCCGCATCGGTTTTCATTCATTTATTTATTTATTTTTTTGTTGAAATATGTGTGTACGTCTGATATAATATACCGACCCAGAAAAGGTAAACAAATAAATTAAAGAAACAGAGACTAGCTTTAACCACTAACCATACAACATATAGACTGGTCATTTCATACGACGCATTTGGACACAAAAAAACGGACCGCGGAAGGTCCACCGCTCTCACAGCAGCAGGTCCATGCACTTCGTGTGCGTTCGGGTTTTTTACTCTCTCATTCTTATTCTCATTTTTATGCTCGCGCACTCATTGCACGAGTTCAGTCGTTCAGTCGCAGAGAGGCGCTTTTTGAAGAAGGCTGTCCTGCGCTTGAATTCGTCTTTGTATGTATGCGTGATCATGCATTCTCATACACGGGAGCATGTGTGCGTTTATTTCATTTCGGCGCATCAAGAATATTTTGTCTTTTGCCACTTTTCAAACTTGGTACCCTAAGAATATGGGCGTATTTACTATTGGGTTATGATATAAATATTAATATTATATGTAACAATATATTTTTTTAATATTTCAGCATACATTTTATTTTTGTTTACAAATTCAAATCAGTGGTAGCAGTAAAATGTTTTACATATATGTATGTATTCGAATTTATAGAAATCAGTCCACTGAGATGGGAACAGGGCATATCGCAGTCGTGTCACTTGAAACACCGACTGCTCTTCAGTGGTTAAGAAAACTTCAAACTAAATCAATTCTTGTCGATGTTTTGCGAGCGGTTGGTGCCTGCATACCCTACCGACCGGCTTTTAGGACACTTGTTTTAAATGTTATGTTTAGTGATCTTTGGTTGATTTATTTTTTAATGATTCGCAGTGTTATTTTAATTGTCTTTAAACAATTCGTTAAAATTCAAGATATTGGTACAATTAAAATCTAAAATTATAATCATTAAAATAAATTATTATCATTAAAAAAATGTGGATTTTTATATTTGTTCCATTTACATTTTCAAAAATATAAAAAGTATTTTATTATTTATTACTTGTTTAAAGACAATTAAAATAACACTGCGAATCATTAAAAAATAAATCAACCAAAGATCACTAAACATAACATTTAAAACAAGTGTCCTAAAAGCCGGTCGGTAGGGTATGCAGGCACCAACCGCTCGCAAAACATCGACAAGAATTGATTTAGTTTGAAGTTTTCTTAACCACTGAAGAGCAGTCGGTGTTTCAAGTGACACGACTGCGATATGCCCTGTTCCCATCTCAGTGGACTGATTTCTATAAATTCGAATACATACATATATGTAAAACATTTTACTGCTACCACTGATTTGAATTTGTAAACAAAAATAAAATGTATGCTGAAATATTAAAAAAATATATTGTTACATATAATATTAATATTTATATCATAACCCAATAGTAAATACGCCCATATTCTTAGGGTACCAAGTTTGAAAAGTGGCAAAAGACAAAATATTCTTGATGCGCCGAAATGAAATAAACGCACACATGCTCCCGTGTATGAGAATGCATGATCACGCATACATACAAAGACGAATTCAAGCGCAGGACAGCCTTCTTCAAAAAGCGCCTCTCTGCGACTGAACGACTGAACTCGTGCAATGAGTGCGCGAGCATAAAAATGAGAATAAGAATGAGAGAGTAAAAAACCCGAACGCACACGAAGTGCATGGACCTGCTGCTGTGAGAGCGGTGGACCTTCCGCGGTCCGTTTTTTTGTGTCCAAATGCGTCGTATGAAATGACCAGTCTATATGTTGTATGGTTAGTGCTTTAACTGAGTGTTTTTGTAGACGTTCCTTACTTCAGATATTTTATAGCTAATCACGTTTCAAAAAATTACCTATATCCATTTCTTCTAAAGTGTATTCAATCCCAACCAATCAGTTCAAAGCCCTTCTGTCAAGACTAAAACATTAGACTTTAGTATCATGCCAAATTAGTAGTGTAATAAACTAAAAATGTATAACGTTTTTTGGGACTAAAGGTTGATTTAAAAATGATTTTTTTTCTCAAGAATATTTTTTTTAATATTATTTCCTTTTTTTTTCTTTTACAGACGATATAAAGGCACACGATAGCAGAGTCACGAGCCTTGATCTGGGCGAAACAGGCCGGGTGCTGGTCACCGGAGGAGAGGATCGCAATGTTAACCTTTGGGCAATTGGCCAGGACGAGTGCTTTATGGTTCGTTGAAATCCAGTCCCAATAGCAATCCACTTATCGAATGCTAATTTAGTGCCGCTTTTCTTCCAGTCTCTGACGGGCCACAATCGCTCTATCGATTGCGTCCGTTTTGCGTATAAGGATAACTTTGTATACTCCGCCGACGACATCGGAATCATCCGCAGATGGGACCTTAATTCCCAGAAAATTTATTCCACCTTAAATGGCCACATGAAGAGTGTTCGCACTCTGGACTTTAATCCATCCGGAGAATATGTGGTGTCCGGGAGCAACGATACAACCGTGAGGTAAGCCAAAAGTCGATATAAACAATCAAAACCACCAATGAGTCAAGGAGCAATCGCACGTTTGCTTATCAAATATCGCTATAAAATGAGTTTTCGCGGTTTGAACAGAGAAGGCGATATTTTCCTGTTTCCCTCATTCTCCGGTTGTTGAATTTAGGATGGAAAAGTTTACTACCATCATATTTATCATCAAAAGTTATCAGAGCCAGAGATTTCTATTTAAACAGTGTGTATGATATACCCGTTTACTATTTGAGTAACCGACTTTCAAACAATGAGTCTTAATGTGTTTCTAAAATCGTATAGAACTTCGTATCAAACTAGAACGGTCATATATCTGACAGTTAAAGGGTTTTGATAAAATTCCGATAACAATCACGAATTCGGATAAAATGCAAATTATGCAATACGATCACTGCAAAATCAATAATAACAAGAATGGAAGCAAACTCTGGCAAGCCGAAGTTCTTAAATACCAAATTAAAAAACAGCAAACTTATAATTTTTTTTTAAATTTATTTTTCCGATTGTTCTTATGGGTGCTATATGCTATAGTCGTCCGATCCGGCACGTTCCGACTTATGTACTACCTGCAATAGAAAGACAACTTTTGGGAAAGTTTCATGCAGATAGCTTTAAAACTGAGAGACTAGTTTGCGTAGAAACGGACGGACAGACGGACATGACTAGATCGACTCGCTTAGAGATGCTGATCAAGAATATATATACTTTATAGGGTCGGAAATGTCTCCTTCACTGCGTTGCAAACTTCTGACTGACAGTAGTGCAAGTATCACTCAGTTTATAGACGGATATGCTGATATCGGCTCACCTGGTGATACCGATAAAGAATATATACCTACATATATGTGTATAGGTCGGAGTTCTCTTATCTTGAAAGTTATATTTTGAAAACCAACAATGTGCCTGTAGGCGATCTATTAAATTCAGGTCAAATTTTTATTTGGAATATTAAAACGTGTTACAAAGAATACTTCTACCACCACGGGTGTTTAAACAGTCACATACATACATATGTATATGCACATTTTTGCATATGTACAAAGTAAACGGACGCGAATTAAAATCTAAAGTCAAAGACAATTCATCGCGACAAAGGCAGAGTCGTCAGAGTGGTCAGCTTACAGCTTGGCTACTGTGCTCTTGAGGTCGACGTAGGCTCCGGAGATCACCTCCTTTCCGGTCTCCACGACCACCGTGCGGAAGTTGATGCGAGTGCCCTGCTTCCACATGTCCACGCGCAAGCTCTGGCCGGGAATCACGGGCCCAGAGAAACGGACTTTGACGGCCTTGAATAGCGCTGCGTTATTGTCCGCGTACTGCGCCAGCACGGCTCGTACGGAGAAGCCCAGGGTGCAGAGTCCATGCAGAATGGGCGTCTTGAATCCAGCGAGCAGGGCCATCTGGGGATCGATGTGCAGGGGGTTGCTGTCGCCGGAGAGGCGGTAGAGCGCCGCCTGGTCATGGCTCGTGGCGTACTGGATAGAGGCGTCCGGCTGACGCTGGGGTGCTGGCTGCAACGGAACGACTCCGGCGATGGGCTCCTTCTTGCCGCCGAATTTGCCGGCGCCGACCACAAACGTGCTGCTCTGGTTACGCACCAAAAGACGGCCGCTCTCGTCATATGATTCGCAATTGGTAACAACCACGGCGCCGGAACCCTTGTCCATTACATCAAACACCTTGCCGCTGGTCAACAGAGTGCCGCTGGAGGGCAGGTCGTCCACGATCTCGAGGTACTGCTCTCCGTGCAGAATGTTCGTGAAGTCGACCTGGGTGTCGGGCAGGGCCTTACTAATCAGCTTGTCGGTGGACATGGCTAACAGAAGGCCGGGCAAAACGAAGAATGATGGAATTGCGGCGAAGTCGGCATCGTTCTCGTACAGGAAGCGCATGTCCTTGGCGTTCTTAGTAGACGCCCCGATGCCCAGGGCGTAAGTGATGAGCGACTTGCTGTTGAACTCGAATGTGTCCTCCACGGCGTCGCCACCGCCTTCCTTCAGCTTTTCAAGCACTTCCAGCAGGGTGCCGGAGGCCTCTGCGATTGCCCCCAAGTGCTTTGCCTTGGACATGTCCGTCACCTTTGACCACACATCCTTCACGTACTCAATGGTCACGGGGTCGTCCAACGTGGGACGCAGCACAGCGCCCTGGCCGCGCACAGTGTGCACCTTGGTGGCCCAGCCTGCGGCGCTCTCGATATAACTGCCTGTGGACGAGAGAAGAAAGCGGTTACTTTGTGTGTCTTTAAGCAAACAAGACTAGCGAAATCGAAATAACAAATTAATTACCGGAAGGAGGGCTATTCTATACTATGATACTATATACTATAATACTATAAGCTCTAATAGTTGCCTGGTTTTTATAATTTTTCATCATTTAATTTACTTGCAACGCAGTGAAGGTTTCAATTTCGATTGTGCTATAAAGATTTGAATTCGTGATAAGGATCAGCAGGCGAGCCGATATATGCATAAATTAAACGCTATCAATATGAAACTTGTCATGCGAACATTGAGCCCAAGTCTAAGAACCAGAGCAAAAAAAAAAGGTCCGTTTTGCCATCTACATAATATATATATATAAAATCAAAAGCTAACCACCAAACTCGGAAACACTCGTATAGAATTCAGCAATTTAGGAGCTCTTCTGAGAGAATGGGACTAAAAGTAAGGGACTCACCATTATCCTCGCAGGACTCGTGGCACAGATAGGCCACCACGGGGGCGATCAGATTGGGCTTCAGCTCGTTGAAGAGGATGTCGGGCAGGATGCCCTCGGTCATCCGGCTGGCGGCCGTGGGCACGATGACGTTGCACAGAATGTTGTTGCGGGCGCCCTCGATGGCCACCGTGTTGGCCAGGCCGACGAGGCCCATCTTGGCCGCCGAGTAGTTGGCCTGGCCGAAATTGCCGTAGATGCCAGAGTTGGACGAGGTCATGATGATGCGGCCGAAGTTCTGCTTCTTCATGTACGGGAATGCGGCCTGGGTGCACTTGAAGCTGCCCTTCAGATGGACGTCGTTGACCAGGTTCCAGTCCTGTTCACTGGTCTTCACCAGGCTGCGGTCGCGCAAAATGCCGGCGTTGTTCACCAGGATGTCCACGCGTCCGAAGGCCTTCACCGCCGTCTCGATGACCTTTGCCCCCTCAATCACGGAGTTGTAGTCGGCCACCGCCTCGCCGCCCATCTTCCGGATCTCCTCCACCACAACGTCGGCGGCCCGCTGCGAGGCTCCCTCGCCGGAGTGGGTGCCGCCCAGGTCGTTGACCACCACCTTGGCGCCCCGCTCCGCCAGCAAGAGGGCGTACTCCCTGCCCAATCCGGCGCCAGCTCCCGTCACCACCGCCACACGGCCATCGTAGCGAAGTTTTCCATCGGGGGAGGACATTGTAGTCGGGCTTGTAGCGAACTCTTGAATCAGGTTTCGATGCACAAATACGGACGCTCTTGTTGCACCGCCCTCAGCTGCGAAATACGAATGGAATGAATAGAAACGGGTTTGCTGGGACTTAATCTACGGCAGCGGCAGCGGCAGAGGCAGAGGCACAGAAGTTTCCAATCGCCGTAATCTTAAGCGAAAGGCGATAATGCGATAATGCTATCGCTTTGAGTGTGTGTATAAACGGGGTTCTTGGGTTGAAGAACCCATACCCATCGATTTCCTAGTGGCATGGCATGGTCCAAGTCCAGGGGTTCATGGTTCAAAGCCATCGGCGTTGAGCCGATGGAACAACAAACCTAGATACAAGATACATTGCGGCATAGGCGCAAATGCTGTGTAATGCCCCTACATGTTCGAGCAAACACCGCAGGTTACAATAATACCGATCCACTACTTACAGATCTCGACGGTTATTCGTTGGTATGCGCTCGAATGCAAAGATTAACCCAATATCAAAGGTACAAAGTGCACTCACTGTTTGTTGTCCAGATAAGTTTGCAATCTTTCACTCAACTCAGTTCATGACAATTTACTAAAAAATACCAACACACGTTCTGGAAAACATGACAAATATGGCAGCGGAATACCAAAAACTTGCTGTCATCGCAGACGCAAACCTTGGCTCGGTATTCCGCTAAAACTAGCAGGGACTCAAACCTTTAAACGTTAGCTATTTATATTGCCATATATATGACATTAAATTGGGCGTATTCAGTATAACAACATGATCACTGATCACTGATGGGTCAGTAATAGAAACTTTATAATTTAGTCTTAAAAAAACAAAGTATTTTTGAAATTGTTTAAGCTGTATGAGGGTTTTGTTTTATCTTTAGTGGTATATTAATTAGTTTTTAAGCCTGCAGAGCACTAACGAGGCAATTAAATTTTCAAATTGGAACAAAATTGGTGATTACTGGCGCACCACTCTAGTAGTTTTCCCAAAATTCTTTCTTTTATTCGGTTTTAAGGATACAGAATTCTTTTTTAAGGGCCCCTTTAAAGGTCTAAATCAAATTTTGGAGCATGGGCTTAACCGGCCACTCTAAAATATAAATTCTTTTTTCCTGAGAAATCTTTTTAAAGAGGGCTTATTCCTACTTTAAATCCCTGTCTTACTCATGATATGGCGGCAATAAACTCTTAAGTATGTTAAATAAGTCTGGAAGCTATATTAGATTCAGAGTATCAGACCGATATCCAAAGATAAAAAAAAACTTTCTAGCATGATTTTGCCTCTAACATTTTAAAAGGAGTTCTTAAGTGCTTCCCATGGAAGGAAGTTGTCTTTGGTCGCTTTGTCAACGTTATACAATCATATTTAACCCAACAATTTTCAGTTTTGTTAGAACGCAACACATTATTCCTATTTTGGAGAGCTTAATACCAGTAGCTTTTCCGTATTTATATTAGATATATATTAATCTCTCAATGCTGAGTGTTTCTTCAAATCTATTTCAAACATCCTTTATTTATAAAACATAGATTTCGGTTGCATTCTGCCTTTTCTCTTCACGCCACTGTAAACATTAGTAGGCAAAGGAATCCGGACAGGCAACCAAATTTTTATTTCGTACATTTTTTAATTGCTTCAAGAAAATTTGTATTAAACGAATTAAATAAATGTTTAAATATGCTGGCCAAAACCACTCTTTTTTCGAATCCGATAAGGTTTTTTTTTTTGAAAAAATCTTTCATTTAAATTAATCATACTCAAACTAGATGGTATTTTAATACAGAATACTTAATAGATAACACGAAAAAAGATCCAAACCGATTAAACCTTTTTACATATTTTACGCTAGTTTAAAGTTCGAACACTACTGTATATACATATTATAAAATCATTCTGGAATTTTTGGAAGAGAAAAGAAAAACTTTTACTGTGCAACATTTATATCCTCTGTGTGCACTGTAACATCCTTAATTGTGGTCTAAAACAAAAAAAAAACATTTTTTTTAACTTTATGATAGTAGTCTATGTTACAGTTACAATTTACAATTGCATTGTTATCATCGCTGCCAAATTACATTTTTTTCCTAGCTATGTCCGTCCGTGTGGATTTGAGATTTGACATGCAGATTTAAGTAATTAATTTTAAAACGTGGCCACGCCCACTTTAACGGCTACAAATCGCTAAAGTTTATCAAATCATTCTGAGACATGTTAGACTTTATTTATTGGGCTGTATGTGTGTGTTTCGGTCATATCTAACTTTATTTTTTTTATTGAGCTATTATTTTAGAAGTTACTGATTATTATTAAAAACTAACGCCTGTTTTAATGCAGTACCACTTTATGTGAAGATACAACTGACTTTGGTATTGAAAAAACCAAAGAACACAGTTGTGACCCGTGTTTCCCTTTTACCTCAGAAAGGCACAAAATGTTAAGTATAAAAATCTGAAACGATAATTTGATGCATGTCCACAGAAAAATATAAAATTATTTCTCATTTTAATTAATACCAAAAAATGTGTTTTTTATTAGAAAATGTTGACGTTTAATCTAGTTTAAAAATGCTAAACTAGCGGGTTTTTCAAGATACTTAAGTATGTTACAAGAGTTCCAGGACCCTTGATATTATCTAGAATTTATTTTAAAAGTAGCATCGAATTTATAACAAGTTGGGTATATGTCCGGTTTTAAAATAAACTAGCGCTGCGCAGAAATAACCAAATCCCAAGTCTCTAGCTTTAATAGTTTCTCGACGTTCATACAGACGGACAGACGGACATGACCAGATCAACTCGGCTTTTGATCCTGATCAAGAATATATATACTTATAGGGTCGGAAACGCTTCTTTGTTACATAATTTTAACGAATCCAATGGGTAACGGGTGTAAAAATTGAAAGCTTTAGGGAAAAAGTAATTGTCAAATAGGTTAAATGTCAGCTTAAAATGGATTTTAATAAATGTTTATCATATATAACTAAAATGCTTTTGTTGCTTTGAAATTTGTTTTTAATTTCTATCGTTTATTTAAATACTTTTAAGATACACTAACAAAAAAGAAACCTGTTGTTGGTGTACAGTAAATGGGGTTTTCGTACAGTATTTAAATGTTTATGTTTAGTATGAAATTAACAAAAAAAGAAAGCAAATTTCGGCAAGTCCAAATATATAATATAGTCCGATCCGGCTTGTTCCTACTTTAATAGAAAGCCAACTTTCATGCACATATGTAGCTTTCAAACTAAGAGACTAGTTTGTTAGAAAAGGACTGCTATTGATACTTATAAAAATATATATATTTATATATATGTATATAAACTTCACTTACTAATTTTCAAATGTTTTTTAATTCAGGCTTTGGGACGTGCAGAACGAAAACAACTGCATCAAGGTGTGTCGCGGTCACATGTCCCACGTGAATTCCGTCAAGTTTTCCCCGGACGGACTTTGGATTGCCTCTGCTGGCTTGGAGGGCTCCATCCTCATTTGGGACATCCGGAAGAGCAAACAGATAATGGAGTTCATAGCGGTACCGCCGGTTACGGCTATCACATGCGTTCAGTTTCATCCGTTCGAGTTCCTGCTGGCCGCCGGACGCATTGACGGCACCGTGTCCATTTACGATCTGGAGCACCAGCAGCTTGTCTCGCAGACCACTCACTTCTTTGGCCAAGCCATCAGATGTATAACCTTTAGGTGAGCTCAAGGAAATCCCTTAAATGAATGTGTATCTACTGGATTTAATGTACAGGAAGCATTCTATTCATTCATTTGCTCCTCTTCATGCTTTTAAACACAAACTCTTAATAAAAATAAGTGCTTAAATATAAACTAAGCCTCTTAGAAAATGGATAGCTACGTCGGAACAGTGAGCAAGTTCTAATGACATGATTTTCTTTAACCAATTATATTTCAGCGAAAACGGCGAGTGCCTTTTCATCGGCAGCGCTTCCGGCATTTCAGTCATTGGCTGGGAGCCGGACCGTGAGCTAGACCACATAAAAAGCACCTGGTCCTCGTTGGCCGACATGAAAGTGGTCAAGAATAAGCTGGTAAGTAATCGCGTCTTGTTCTGGAACTCACAATAAAATTCACCACAAATTTTGTTTGCAGATATGTGGTTGCCATGAGATCGACACCGTTTCGATCAACACCATTAGTCTGGACCGCGTAATACCGTTCTACCAGCCTCCGGACGCCCTACCAAACTTCAAGCACAACTCAACGAACCGAAAGAGTTTCTCCCGCGGCAACCAGAAGTTCCGACTGTCGCTGGGCGGCTCGAAGCCGGCCCAGGTTCAAGAGGAGCATGATGACAACAAGAGTGATCTGTCGTCGCCCAACTTTAGCCTGGAGGTGGTGGACGAGGCGGTGCTGGAGTCGGCGGAAACGTCTCCGATGTCCTCGCTGCCACCCGTCCACTTGGCCTCGACGGCGGGTTCGTCGGCCGACCTAGCGTCGCACCATATCGTGTACGGCGGGGGCACCATTGAGCCGGGCTTGCGGCAGGGTAAGTTTTCCAGGGTGCCCGACAACATGGCCAGCTATGCCAGTAGCTACGCCATCGACAGCCGCCTGATGTCGATGAACGACGCCAGTTTGCTGCACAAGCCGGATATCTACAGCATATACTCGCTGGGCAAGGACGAGGAGGTGGCGGACGTGCAGCAGCTGGAGTTCGGCCTGAACGACAGTAACCCGCCGATACTCAACAACTACGACAACTACGAGATGGCTGAGGACTTTCCGGTCAATCAGAACCTGAACTACATTGCCAGTAACTATAAGCCAGTACCCGCCACCTCCACTATCAACGCCTCGTCCAAGTCGATCAAGAAGACGACCACCACTACCCTGCACAAGCGGAACACGGGCGCCATGGGCAGCTCCAAACAGACGTCCACGGGCATCTTTGGTGGCAGCAAGCTCAGCCAGGTCTCCTCGGTTAGCTCCATGGAGCTGCACAAGCTTGACGACAACATGGTCATTAAAAAGTCATCCTCCTCGAATGTCGTCAATAAGAACAAGCGTCCGATGGGCTCGGCGCAAAGCCAGTTCAGTAAGGAGAACAGTCAACAGAAGAACATAAACGTGGAAATCATTACGAAGCCTCCGATGCGATCTCGCACCACCCTGGACATGCGTCCGTCGCTCCAGGCTAAAACTCAGGAAAAGCATATTCACGTGGGTGTTAGACGATATTCATACTGGACCAAGCACTTACATTCTCTTCCTAATTTATCACTGCAGCAGCCACTGAACAATCGCATCATGATGGACGACCACGACTTTGATGTACTGTCAAGATCGCATGAGGCTGTGCTGCAGGAACTGAGCAATCGCCAGTCCAGCCTGGACTTGTTGCGCCACGCCACCCGGTGAGTATGGGTTATGGGTCGCTTGCAAAATAGTTCCATTTTGTTTTTCGTAGCTTAAAAATAAAAAAATTCATTTTAATACAATTTAAGCTTGTTTTTCACATATATGTACCTTAATTGTCAATTATCAGTTTATGTGTAAACAGAAAGGAAGCAAGCACCACCAATATTCTTGACAACATTAAAATTATGTTTAAAAACATGGAAGCTATGACGATTTACAGCTCAATTATTTGATAGTTCCTATGGCAACTATATGATATCATTTTCCGATTTTAATAAAATTAAAAGCATAATTCTGAACTGTCAAATTATTAATTAGTCAAAATAAATTTCTAAACAAATTTAAACCGTAATTCTGAAATATTTATAATATAATTTTTTAAAATTTATTTTTCCGATTGTTTTTTATGGGAGCTATATGCTATGGTCGTCCGATCCGGCTCGCTTCGACAATAGAAAGACAACTTTTGGGAAAGTTTCATGCAGATAGCTTTAAAACTGAGAGACTAGTTTGCGTAGAAACGGACGGACGACGGACATGGCTAGATCGACTCTCCTAGTGATGCTGATCAAAAATATATATGCTTTATAGGTTCGGAAATGTCTCTACTCGCGTTGCAAACTTCTGACTAAATTCAAGGGTATAAAAACACGACTGAGAAAGTTTAAAGTTGCATCGCAAAAAATGGATATTTTCTTAGCAAAACTAGTAATCTATCATTCAAAAGTACATATCTTACCTTTTTGTTAGGATATAACAGGTTTTTTCTTTTGGGAGAAGTTATTTTCAGAGCAAACGCAGTAATTGTATTGAAAAAAGTTTAAAAAAACTCTGTAATAAAGAAATCTATAATTTCGTTTTAATAAAGCTGCACTTGCAGCTTGAATTAGTTATATAGCATTGCCCGCCTACAGGGATGCTATTAGCCAAGAAGAATGCCTTTGGCTGAAAGGGTTTGAGTTTCTTTTGCACTTTGCTCCCTTCTGTGTTACATTGTAACAAAGGCTTTGACTTTTTTTAAACAAAATTGCCTTATCTTGCTTGGAACAAGAAAAACATATTAACGCTTTCAAAAATTCGGAAATGGCAATCTCCTTTGCACTCTTTGTCGCCTCTGCTTTCCATATGTTAAAAAACTCGGAGTTTGCAAATTTGAGGTTAGAACCTAAAAAGTTTAATTTCAGAAAAAGTGCGCAAAAGTGCACTTTTATACTAACAGAATAGAAAAGTAATTGAATAATCTACAATATGTAACAAGTTTTAGAGTTTGAAAGTGCTTGAATCACTTTGTAGCTCTATTTAAAAATAACACATCACTACAAGCTTCTATATTTTTTGGGGTTATTACATACACAAAATAACAAGGACGTCACAATCGATAACTACAATTCACGTTTACAAACACATATTACAAACCACTATTGTTGGACTGCATGCCAAAAAATTGCACTTGAATTGGTTTTTTTGCTTCTTTTTTAGTGTTAAATTTGGAAGAAAAATTTACGACTTAACAGCGCTCGCTTCAAGTTGCACAAACGGCTGACTTTGACAGCTGATAGCTTAACAGTAATGTGGTCTGTTAAAATTTTGTGTTTGCAACATTTAAGATTAGGATTATTTCTATCCATCACGATTAAAAAAAATATATTTAACGACTTTTAAAAAAATGGGTTTTGGCCAAAAAGTGTGGTCGTTGGCCCCATAGTGCGATGTCGTTACGCCACGGGTTCTTTTCTTTTATACTTTTATCTTGAAATTTATTATTACTATAACTAATTTAATAACAATAACAAAAACGGAAGTCAATCATAATGTTAATGTTTTCTAGAATATTACATTTTTGCAATAGCTCCAAGGTTATATGAAATTCGGCTTGCCGAATTTGGCTTCCTTTCTTGTTTTAATAGTGCGTTACTTTGTCTTAATCAACGGCCTGATCCTTGTATGTATTTAAATGGTTATTTTTTCTCTGGGTAGCTGGCTAAAAAGACTTATATCTGTTGTAAACATTTTTTCCGAAACAATTCTTCCCGTTGCCATAAATTTTAAAATTATTTTTGATGCAGCTTTGTCTTAAAATGTCAAAGATAACAAAACTTTCATTTAAAATCAAAATACTATAATGGAATTTGTAATTGTATAATTTTTTTTAAGGAATTTAGACTCAGCCATTAAATAATAGTTATATTTGAAATTCCTAAGGTCACACGATGTGCTTGGCGCCTTGAGGCAAGCGAAGAATTGCGGAAAATCCATTTTCATAGATCTGCTCGGAGCCATACTGGAGAAACCGTAAGTAACAATTTGTATATAAAAAGCTAAAATTATATGTAAAAACCTGCTTTAAGGTCCTCGTGGAACTTGGATTTCTGCATGTTTGTGCTGCCGGAGATTTACGAACTTTTGCAAAGCCAACACAAGTTGTGAGTAGAGTTGAAAAAAAAACGGGAGGGACCATGGAAATAATTCGAGTTTTTTATTTAGCCATTTTACGATAGCTTGCGATACTCTTCGTATTATTCTGTCAAACTTCTTGCCAACCATTCAGGAAAACCTCGACTCCTGGGCCGCAAATGGCCTGGGCGTTGACGTGACCCGCGAGGATCGTCAGAGGAAGTGCGCAGAGTGCCAGCGGTGGCTGCTTCAAATCAAGAACCTGCCAGAAAGCATCCACTTCGGGTCCACGCTGTCACAGCTTCAGAACATAATTATTTTCTAAGGGCTACGCATATCCGTCTGTGAAGTCTCCTCGGCGTTCAGATCAGCTCTTGAACGGTACAAAAATCGTCAACAAAAAAAACCACCAGCTTCCCAAAACCTGATCCAAGCACAGCGTTGGGGGAAGTGGCCTCATTTGTCGCTCTAAGCTGCCAAACTAAGGAGTTAAAACAATCGTTACAGGAACAGCTGCTCGGGAGCGAGCTCTTCCGAACACTGTTTATCCAGCATTAACAACATTAGGGCCGTTTTTTCATTTCCATGTTGCGATGAAACGGGCTTTTAAACTGCGATGTTCTGTTCGATTTCCTAGTTTACGACTGCTTTCAGCGAACCATGAAGATGTGAAAACAGGCCTTAGTCATTTAATGATTTACACTATTAATTTGTTATGGAAACTAATTTATACAATTATTATTTACATAATCCTAAGTCTTATAAATTTGAAAATATATAAAAAAATTTTCAAAAATTGTCTAGTAAAGTCATTTTGAAAATCAATATTATGGTAAGTATTGCTTCCTTACCTATCTAGTAGCCCCGTACGAGTTGCGTTTAGAATTGGATCCGAGCTAGAGCTTGATCTATTTTTTTATCCATGACTTTGAAATCATAGGTCATGGAATAATGAAATCGTCGAGTAACAGCTCCTGTCATAAGCTATGATTCAATCACTCATTTGAAATTGCGCAGTTTGACTATCTCACAACATCAAAGAAAAACAAGAAATGAAGCAAACTTCGGCAAGCCGAAGTTCATATACCCTTGCAGCTATTGCAGGAATTAAATACTTTTGAAAACATTAAAATTATGATTTAATTGCGATACGTTGAAAAACATTGAAGCTATGATGATTTGCAGCTCAAATATTAGATAGTTATTTTATATATTTTTATTATTTCTATGGGAGCTATGTGATATAGTCGACCGATTTTGATGAAATTTAAACCGTAATTCTGACATATAGTAATGGATAAATATTTCAGAATTACGACTTAAATTTCATCAAAATCGGACGACTATATATATATAGCTCCCATAGGAACAATAAAAATGTATAAAATAACTATCTAATAATTGAGCTTCAAGTTTTGAAACACATACGCAAGTAAATCATAATTTTAATGTTTTCAAAAATATTTAATTCTTGCAATAGCTGCAAGAGTATATGAACTTCGGCTTGCCGAAGTTTGCTTTCTTTCTTGTTTATTATTTATTGGTTTTAATGAAACTAGTTTTAACTCTAGCAAAAAACGATTTAAATACAAGTAGACGATATTAAGTACGAAATATTTGATTTCTTTGATTTTATTACTGGTTTTAATAAAACTAAAGTAAGATATGCCTTTTCTTAAAATTAAAAACGAAATTCATTAAGTTATGGAGTATATTTTTTAAAATATTTGATTGATTTTGTTATTTTCTTCAAAATACAAGCATAAAATATTTTATTTCTTGACTTCCTTGCTATTTTTGCCGTAGACATCGCGGTATTCGGGATACTCCAGCTTGCTGATATTTCGGAGCTCCCAGAAGGCCTGCTTGGCCAGCCAGTGGATGACGGGGCCGTTCCACTCCTTTAGGATTACCTGGTAGTTCCTATCGTCGGTGTCCGTGGACTTCATAACCCGACTGAAGCTATACCACATGTAGATCATGCAGCGCAGCCTGTAGATCCACAAATGATTGGGCACCGAGCGAATAATGTCCTGCAGATTTCCGAGGAGAGTGTGGTCCATTAGGTTAAACACCACCTTCATATTCCCCAGATAACTATTGCCATTCCTGCTCGTTTATCGTTTATCTACATCGATATTTCGGATATCCTGCCACCAACGATCCCAGCTAGGATAGTCTCTGCCCCGATAGACCTTAGTCCACTCCTTGCCGATGTTTTCCCGAAAACGACTGGACAGAAAACCGGTAGCATTGTCCTTGCCGCCGGATTCCTCTTCCATGAAATTCATATCAAGGGTCATGTCGTTGTATACGTGCTGAATGATGGGCACATCCTTGGATTTCTTCGAGCGAATGACATAGTCGGGTGACCTCTTGAAGAACCGCACTGCATAGGACTTTGATTCCTTTTGGAACTTAACATAGGGCATCTTAAATCCCGCAATTGTAAAAACCTTAGACAACAACTCTTGAGTCCTGGGAATTGGCTCAACTCTGCGATATTCCAACGGCTGTCCTTCGGTACCAAAATGTTCATTGGTAAACTCACGATGATTATCAAATCTCGAAGGTGGCTCACGGCTCATACTCATGGAATGCTGATTACCCATCAACGGTTTGTTGCGAAATATTGCTTCCTGAATGTTTCGAAAACCCATTGGTTGTGAAAAGTTATCATTCGGAATAAAACGCTCGGCTCACGACTTCCTGCATACGAGTTTGGAATAAACTCATTGGATTCACGACCTCTGGGCCGTTGATTCTCAAAGTTTCCATAGCCCATCATGTTGGTGGACAAATTGCGATCATACATGCCAACGGGAGAGAGATTGCGTCTGGGACCGGAGGAACTCCAATCGAGATTCTGCGGCGGTGGAGGAGCATTGCGACTCAAACCCAATTGTCCACCAGAATTTTTTCCATTCCAGCCGTACATATCACCCATTGGACGTCTTAGTCCATCATCGGTACTACGGTTACTCAGATCGAGATTTTCAGGAAAATTGCGCTGCTTGATTTTCTCTATGGCATGGTTAGGCAAAGGCCTAGCTCCACTTATACTCATCCTCTTAAGATTAATAAATATATTAATTCTATATTATTTGAACTATTAATACACCCAACAGCTTACACGTTTCATTATCGGCCTACTCCTTAGCGAAATCGGCATCATGTTGCAAAGTACTTTTAAAAATTAATTAAAATAAAATTATTTTCTTTTTTTGCGGAGAATTCCAAGAGCATTCAAACGCTTTGAAAGTGAATGACTGAATGATGATTGCCAGTAAAATGTTGGAAGTCTAAAAAACAAAGCTTACTGTGTTCAAGAATAAACTTCATTTTAGTATTAATATTTAAAATTAATTCATTAATGTGTAAATGAAAAAATCATTTGGATCTTAATTTAATCCTTTGTGCATAAAGTTCATTGTGTAAAAAATACGTTTATAATTAAAATTGCTTGTGAAATGTATTTTTGGGTATTTTAATATTATTTGATTTGATTTGAAATTACCATCATTAATGAATATTATTTGTAAATTAGAAAAGTTCAAACATAAGTTGGCCAAGTTTATAAATTCACATCCGCTTCGAAAAGTGATAGTAATTCTACACCAATCCAACAAAGTAGTGAGGAAAATTGTCGGTTCTTTTGTAAATTTTTGAATTTTTTTACACAAACAAAAAATGGAACCCACTTTTATTAGTGCCCTGCTTTTTTCGATATTTTGCCATTGCACAGGCCTCTTTTACAATCCGGTGGAGGCCAGTACGGAATCAACTGTTTTTTTAATTCTCGCCATAATTTTGCTGCATAAATTGAAATTGAAGTACAACCTAAATATCATTCAAAGTGTTGTGGCTAAAATCCTTGAGGTTGCGTTCCTTTGTCTAACAATACAAGTGCTATTGGTGGTCATTTGGTTCCCCGTCTTTCGAGCTCTGCAATTCCTGGTGGATGCAATCTGCCAGAAACTGCTCAATGCTGTGAGCGATGAGCGGGCTTGGATTGTGGAGAAAGTCAATCACTCGGCGGTGACAGTGGTTCTACTGACCATGGAATCGACGGTGCTGCTCAAGGGTTTCGAGATCGACGATGTGCGGAAGTTGTTCGGCTCCAAGGACGATTGTCTCTCACCCAGTGTCCTTTCAATTGTGGCCAAGGAGGAGGTGAAAGCCTTTCGACGGGAAATGAAAGAGTTGCAGAAACAGTCAATCTTTCGAGCTGCTAGGAAGTGAAATACTGATGGAATCAAATAAATTGGAGTCAACAGAACAAAAGTATCGTGGCAAAGATAATAAAGTTTAATAAAAATTTTAGCAAATATATAATATAATCATTACTTTTATTTAATTTATTTCCGATATTTTAATTATTATAATTTAATGCAATTAAATTTCAATACTTCAAAGGCTTGCTTTTTATAATTTCAGTCAGAAGTTTGCAACGCAGTGAAGGAGACATCTCCGACCCTATAAAGTATATATATTCTTGATCAGCATCACTAGGCGAGTCGATCTAGCCATGTCCGTCTGTCCGTCCGTCTGTCCGTCCGTTTATATGCAAACTGGTCTCTCAGTTTTAAAGCTATCTGCATGAAACTTTCCCAAAAGTTGTCTTTCTATTGCAGGTAGTATATAAGTCGGAACGAGCCGGATCGGGCGACTATAGCATGCATCCTATGGGAGCTATAGGAACAATCGGAAAAATAAATGAAAAAATATTATAACTTTGCTGTTTTTCAATTTTTTGTTTAGTTCTTCGACATATAGCAATGGTTAAATAATTCAGAATTATGGTTTAAATTACATCAAAATCGGACGACTATAGCATATAGCTCCCATAGGAACAATCGGAAAAATAATTGAAAAAAATTATAACTTTGCTGTTTTTTAATTTTTTGTTTAGTTCTTCGACATATAGCAATGGTTAAATAATTCAGAATTATGGTTTAAATTTCATCGAAATCGGACGACTATAGCATATAGCTCCCATAGGAACAATCGGAAAAACAATTGAAAAAAATTATAACTGTGCTGTTTTTTAATTTTTTGTTTTGTCCTTCGACATAAAGCAATGGTTAAATATTTCAGAATTATGGTAAAAATTTCAACAAAATCGGACGACTATAGCATATAACTCCCATAGGAACAATCGGAAAAATAATTGAAAAAAATTATAACTTTGCTGTTTTTTAATTTTTTTTTTAGTTCTTCGACATATAGCAATGGTTAAATATTTCAGAATTATGGTTAAAATTTCATCAAAATCAGACGACTATATCATATAGCTCCCATACAAATAATAAAAATATATAAAAGAACAATCAAATAATTAAGCTGCAAATCGTCATAGCTTCAATGCTTTTAAACATATACGCAAGTAAATCATAATTTTAATGTTTTCAAAAATATTTAATTCTTGCGATAGCTGCAAGGGTATATGAACTTCGGCTTGCCGAAGTTTGCTTTCTTTCTTGTTTGCATTGCTTTAGATAACGCAGTTTATATTCACATTGGTGACGCGAAAAACTGAGCTGTGAGAAATAGATATTCAGGGATTTTTAGCTCGCACGGTTTCGCTAAACGATCCTCTCCAGAAGCAGGATATCTTTAACAGTGTGGATGACAGGGAAATTAATTGTTTACCTCGGCTCTGGCTCGTCAGCAATTGGGGTGTTGTTCTTGCTCAGAAATCAAGGCGGTCTAACTAATTATTAAGAAGCGACAAGCAAAAAACTACTTTAAACACACTTCTACATTTTGGGCTATTGCAGTTGGCCACGAGAGGCCAGGCACTTAACTTGATCTGCTACCGCATCTCCACCTCTGCTGTTAATGAGGCTAGTTTTGTCCACCCTTCCATCGGCCGTTCTCCCTTCCCTTCACTCCCGGAACAGCCCCTTCGCGGCTTTGGTTAAAACATTAAACAAATTTATTTATCAACTAAGAAAGACAATATACTTCACTCCATAATTTTTTAACGGATATATACATATAATAAATATGGGACAAAATAAATAAATCTTTATGGACGAGGCAAGGAATTTGATTTGGTTAGCTAAGAACCTGACCATTTACGATATTCGACTCCAAAAATAATGCAGGGTGATTCGAGTTATCTCTTTTTCTTTCCACTCGAATTCCACTCAATAGTTTAGTTATATTTTTTTCTCACTTCTTTCTCTTTTCCTTTTGAAGGTTAAAAAAAAATGATTGTTTTTTTTTTTACTCAAAATCTATATTCTTTTTGTTCTTCTTTATTCATTTAATAGTTTTCCTCGCGATTTTGCACTGCACCACGAAATCATTTTGCTTTTCATTTTTTTCTTTGAACAATTAAATAAAAACGTATAAGTTTTCGCTCACCATGACTATCGCTGCGAATCCAACGAAGAAAGCGCTTTCTCGAATGGTCGCTGAAGGCTGTAAAAGAATTCACTTTTTCACGATTAAAAAATCATGGGGCAGGCAAGTCTGGGGATTATTTCTTTTCTTTTTCTTCAACTTTCAAAAAGGAACTCGGGGCGAATTAAAATTTTTTTTTTGCGTAAAATAACAAATGAACTCAAATCACTCTCACATATAAAAATATAAAAGAAATATTAAAACTGATTCTTAATAACTCAATTTTATCACTATTTTTAAGACATTTTTATTTCTTCTTTTTGGATTTTCTCTTCGTTTTCCTTCCTTTATTTTCCCCCGCCATGTCAGCGTCTAAAAAAATCTTTTTATCTGCCCTTTATCCCAATAACTCACCTAATTTCGTTGGCTCTATTAACTCTTTTAATCGTTGGCTGGGTATAACGTCTCTCTCCCTTCCGAGTGAAAACTTCTGGCACCATAAAAAAACTTTTACCGCAGTCAACCTCTCTGGTGGAAGGCTCAAAGGGAAAAGAACGCTGGTGCCGCCCAATTATGGCGGCAAGCTTCTTAACAGCGAAAGAATAGAAATGCTCTCTCCAGATCAGTGCTTGACACTTAGCCCTGTTGACCCGCCACATTTGCCACGAACTGTTTCCGCCACCTGCTCGCAGATGGCGCCAGAAACTGGGTTCAGTTTATGCTACCAGCGCTACATGTCCAAATGAACCCATGTAATGTGTGCCTATTGAAGCCTAAATCTGTTTTGCTGCGACCATGTAATCATGTAAAAATCTCCGGCTTATGTTGGGATAAAATTGTCGAAAATATTTCCTTGAAAAATAATGACATAGAAGATGATGAAAGTGGAAATTAGCAACCGAATTGTCCCAGCTGTAATCAGCCTGTTAATGAGGCAATTCGAAATGTTTTTATTTACAATTAAGTAAGAAGTCAACTAAAGTGATGTTAATAAATCCAAAAACAAACAGTTTGAAGTAATACATATAAATGACAAGGTTTTTCTTTGAATCGGGACGGCATGATCCATCTACATGGTGGTAAAATATTTATTTTTTATGTCGTTTGCAGAAGGGCGTTGATCAACGGGGGAGTTATGTCGTAAAAAACCACATATTTTCGCGGAGATACATATGTACATATGTCGCGCGGAGATCTGACACTATGGCAGCTAATAACGGCCCTTTTGGATGAGTTGTCCAAAATAGGACCAGAAACGACCCATCACGCCTGAATGCGGCCATTAAAGTCAAGGGCTATCATACAAAATACTGAAAATATCTTTAAGACTTTTATGTTAATTATTAAAGACTAAATATAAAATGCATCATTTAAGCTAGGTCACAGCTTAAAATTGGAAAATTTATTTTTTTTGTTATATTAACCCATTGACTTCTTCGTATGAAATAAACGATGTTCCTTTATTACACTGAATATATAAATCTATTATTATCCATTAAAATTTTAAACATACATAGCTCTTTACGTTCAAAAGTTACAGCCGAAAACATTTTTAAATAGGCTTTGCATCAAATAAGCTGTGAGCCACTGTAAGTTAAATGCAATAAATATAAATGGAGATTAGGAACAATTAGGAATCACATGTTCTCGCACACATACACATATACAAAACGTGATATTTTTTATAAAATGTGTTTTTAAATTGTTTATCATCTGCATTCGCAGACAATTGTGTCTTAGTTTGTCTATCAGTAACTTTCTATCTCTCTCTCTTACCTCTCTTCATCTTTCTTTCTCTGTCATTAGTTCAATCCTTCTCAATTTCTCTTCGCTCTCCCTTCCACTGTTAACAAAAGTAATATTTTGCCTAATTCTTTTGCCTCTCCTTCTGTAAAATTCAAAAGTCGAAGCAGTTGCAAGTAAAACGGAATATGCGTTTTTAGGAATTCGTTTGCAGTAGATGGCGAAGCTGCGCGCGACTTTTAAATCCAGGGGTGGATCGCCAAAATGTTTTTGTCTTCTGTTAAATGCACTGCCATAAAGCAGTATTGAGCACCCTTGTTTTGTTGCTGAGCAAATAATCGGGTGGTTTGACACATAAATAAAGGTAAGACAATATTTAATTGTTTTAAATATATTTAATACTCCATTACACCATTACTCATTTTTAGGATACATATTTTATAAAAAAACAAGAAAGAATGCAAACTTCGGCAAGCCGAAGTTCATATACCCTTGCAGCTATCGCAAGAATTAAATATTTTTGAAAACATTAAAATTATGATTTACTTGCGTATATGTTTAAAAACATTGAAGCTAAGACGATTTGCAGCTTAATTATTTGATTGTTATTTTATATATTTTTATTGTTCCTATGGGAGCTATATGATATAGTCGTCCGATTTTGATGAAATTTAAACCATAATTCTGAATTATTTAACCATTGCTATATGTCGAAGAACTAAACAAAAAATTAAAAAACAGCAAAGTTATAATTTTTTTCAATTGTTTTTCCGATTGTTCCTATGGGAGCTATATGCTATAGTCGTCCGATTTTGATGAAATTTTTACCATAATTCTGAAATATTTAACCATTGCTTTATGTCGAAGAACAAAACAAAAAATTAAAAAACAGCAAAGTTATAATTTTTTTTCAATTATTTTTCCGATTGTTCCTATGGGAGCTATATGCTATAGTAGTCCGATTTTAATGAAATTTAAACCATAATTCTGAAATATTTAACCATTGCTATATGTCGAAGAACTAAACAAAAAATTAAAAAACAGCAAAGCTATAATATTTTTTCATTTATTTTTCCGATTGTTCCTATGGGAGCTATATGCTATAGTCGTCCGATCCGGCTCGTTCCGACTTATATACTACCTGCAATAGAAAGACAATTTTCGGGAAGGTTTCATGCAGATAGCTTTAAAACTGAGAGACTAGTTTGCATATAAACGGACGGACAGACGGACAGACGGACATGGCTAGATCGACTCGCCTAGTGATGCTGATCAAGAATATATATACTTTATAGGGTCGGAGATGTCTCCTTCACTGCGTTGCAAACTTCTGACTGAAATTATAATACCCTCTGCAAGGGTATAAAAATATGGAAATATAACGATACTATGGGCTGACTACAGAGAGTCCAAAAAAAGTATTTCAACTGCTGATATGATTCCGGTCGAATGAGTGGCTGAAGTTACAAAAATTCAAAATGATTATGAAAGCTAAGTATATTCCCCTATTATATCCTACAATCTTTAAAAATATCAAATATCAACGGTTCGAAAATAAAAGTCGAATATTGGTGTGAAAAAATGACTTTTTAAATTCTGCCAAATGGAAAAATTTCAACCAATCCAAAAGTTTGTAGGGCATTGTAGGTAGTACCCATTCAAAATGATTAATTTCAAAACGGGCGGTTATTTTGTAGGCAAGTTATGATGTCAGCAGTTTTCAAAAATTTAATTTCGAAATAAACGCGGTTAAAATTTCAGGTGCAACGGTGTATGCCTGCGAGCGGTCGCTATTTAGAACGTTGCCACTCAAAATCTTTTTTAGATCGGACCTTGCCGCTTTCTTAGGATATTTTTAAAATTGTAAACTATTGTTCTTTTCTTGTTAAGCATCACTAGGAGAGTAGATCTAGCCATGTCCGTCTGTCCGTCCGTCCATCCGTCCGATTGCATGAAACTCTCCCAAAAGGTGTCTTTCTATTGCAAGTAGTATATAAGTCGGAATGAGCCGGATCGGACTACTATAGCATATAGATCCCAAAGGAACAATCGGAAAATAAATGAAAAAATATTATAACTTTGCTGTTTTTTAATTTTTTTTTTATTCTTACGGAATTGCGGTTTTAATTTTATTTAAATCGGTCGACTGTAACATATAGCTCCTATTAGAATTATCAATATAATAAAAAAAATTTTTAAACAAAATATGACTTTTAAATTTTTTAATTTTTTTTTTTTTAATTTCGCTTGTACATAGTAATGGAACATAATAATAATAATAAATTCAAAAATACGCTTTTAATTTTATTAACATCAGAAAACAATGATATATATATGACATAGTCGTCCGATTTTGATGAAATTTAAATCGAAATTCTGAAATATTCAACCATTACTATATGTCGAAGAACTAAAAAAAAAATTAAAAAGCAGCAAAGTTATAATTTTTTTTTATTTATTGTTCCTATGGGAGCTATATGCTATAGTCGTCCGATCCGGCTCGTTCCGACTTATATACTACCTGCAATAGAAAGACAACTTTTGGAAAAGTTTCTTTAAAACTGAGAGACTAGTTTGCGTAGAAACGGACGGACAGACGGACAGACGGACGGACAGACGGACATTGCTAGATCGACTCGCCTAGTGATGCTGATCAAGAATATATATACTTTATAGGGTCGGAGATGTCTCCTTCACTGCGTTGCAAACTTCTGACTGAAATTATAATACCCTCTGCAAGGGTATAAAAAGCAAGCCTTTGAAGTATTGAAATTTAATTGCATTAAATTATAATAATTAAAATATCGGAAATAAATTAAATAAAAGTAATGATTATATTATATATTTGCTAAAATTTTTATTAAACTTTATTATCTTTGCCACGATACTTTTGTTCTGTTGACTCCAATTTATTTGATTCCATCAGTATTTCACTTCCTAGCAGCTCGAAAGATTGACTGTTTCTGCAACTCTTTCATTTCCCGTCGAAAGGCTTTCACCTCCTCCTTGGCCACAATTGAAAGGACACTGGGTGAGAGACAATCGTCCTTGGAGCCGAACAACTTCCGCACATCGTCGATCTCGAAACCCTTGAGCAGCACCGTCGATTCCATGGTCAGTAGAACCACTGTCACCGCCGAGTGATTGACTTTCTCCACAATCCAAGCCCGCTCATCGCTCACAGCATTGAGCAGTTTCTGGCAGATTGCATCCACCAGGAATTGCAGAGCTCGAAAGACGGGGAACCAAATGACCACCAATAGCACTTGTATTGTTAGACAAAGGAACGCAACCTCAAGGATTTTAGCCACAACACTTTGAATGATATTTAGGTTGTACTTCAATTTCAATTTATGCAGCAAAATTATGGCGAGAATTAAAAAAACAGTTGATTCCGTACTGGCCTCCACCGGATTGTAAAAGAGGCCTGTGCAATGGCAAAATATCGAAAAAAGCAGGGCACTAATAAAAGTGGGTTCCATTTTTTGTTTGTGTAAAAAAATTCAAAAATTTACAAAAGAACCGACAATTTTCCTCACTACTTTGTTGGATTGGTGTAGAATTGTCTGTCACTTTTCGAAGCGGATGTGAATTTATAAACTTGGCCAACTTATGTTTGAACTTTTCTAATTTACAAATAATATCCATTAATGATGTTAATTACAAATCAAATCAAATAATATTAAAATAGCCAAAAATACATTTCACAAGCGTTTTAAATTATAAACGTATTTTTTACACAATGAACTTTATGCACAAAGGATTAAATTAAGATCCAAATGATTTTTTCATTTACACATTAATGAATTAATTTTAAATATTAATACTAAAATGAAGTTTATTCTTGAACACAGTAAGCTTTGTTTTTTTAGACTTCCACTTTCAAAGCGTTTGAATGCTCTTGGAATTCTCCGCAAAAAAAGAAAATAATTTTATTTTAATTAATTTTTAAAAGTACTTTGCAACATGATGCCGATTTCGCTAAGGAGTAGGCCGATAATGAAACGTGTAAGCTGTTGGGTGTATTAATAGTTCAAATAATATAGAATTAATATATTTATGAATCTTAAGAGGATGAGTATAAGTGGAGCTAGGCCTTTGCCTAACCATGCCATAGAGAAAATCAAGCAGCGCAATTTTCCTGAAAATCTCGATCTGAGTAACCGTAGTACCGATGATGGACTAAGACGTCCAATGGGTGATATGTACGGCTGGAATGGAAACAATTCTGGTGGACAATTGGGTTTGAGTCGCAATGCTCCTCCACCGCCGCAGAATCTCGATTGGAGTTCCTCCGGTCCCAGACGCAATCTCTCTCCCGTTGGCATGTATGATCGCAATTTGTCCACCAACATGATGGGCTATGGAAACTTTGAGAATCAACGGCCCAGAGGTCGTGAATCCAATGAGTTTATTCCAAACTCGTATGCAGGAAGTCGTGAGCCGAGCGTTTTATTCCGAATGATAACTTTTCACAACCAATGGGTTTTCGAAACATTCAGGAAGCAATATTTCGCAACAAACCGTTGATGGGTAATCAGCATTCCATGAGTGTGAGCCGTGAGCCACCTTCGAGATTTGATAATCATCGTGAGTTTACCAATGAACATTTTGGTACCGAAGGACAGCCGTTGGAATATCGCAGAGTTGAGCCAATTCCCAGGACTCAAGAGTTGTTGTCTAAGGTTTTTACAATTGCGGGATTTAAGATGCCCTATGTGAGTGATGTGGTGGGCAAGCTTCCCCAAAAGGAATCAAAGTCCTATGCAGTGCGGTTCTTCAAGAGGTCACCCGACTATGTCATTCGCTCGAAGAAATCCAAGGATGTGCCCATCATTCAGCACGTATACAACGACATGACCCTTGATATGAATTTCATGGAAGAGGAATCCGGCGGCAAGGACAATGCTACCGGTTTTCTGTCCAGTCGTTTTCGGGAAAACATCGGCAAGGAGTGGACTAAGGTCTATCGGGGCAGAGACTATCCTAGCTGGGATCGTTGGTGGCAGGATATCCGAAATATCGATGTAGATAAACGATAAACGAGCAGGAATGGCAATAGTTATCTGGGGAACATGAAGGTGGTGTTTAACCTAATGGACCACACTCTCCTCGGAAATCTGCAGGACATTATTCGCTCGGTGCCCAATCATTTGTGGATCTACAGGCTGCGCTGCATGATCTACATGTGGTATAGCTTCAGTCGGGTTATGAAGTCCACGGACACCGACGATAGGAACTACCAGGTAATCCTAAAGGAGTGGAACGGCCCCGTCATCCACTGGCTGGCCAAGCAGGCCTTCTGGGAGCTCCGAAATATCAGCAAGCTGGAGTATCCCGAATACCGCGATGTCTACGGCAAAAATAGCAAGGAAGTCAAGAAATAAAATATTTTATGCTTGTATTTTGAAGAAAATAACAAAATCAATCAAATATTTAAAAAAATATACTCCATAACTTAATGAATTTCGTTTTTTATTTTAAGAAAAGGCATATCTTACTTTAGTTTTATTAAAACCAGTAATAAAATCCAAGAAATCAAATATTTCGTACTTAATATCGTCTACTTGTATTTAAATCGTTTTTTGCTAGAGTTAAAACTAGTTTCATTAAAACCAATTATAAACAAGAAAGAAAGCAAACTTCGGCAAGCCGAAGTTCATATGCTCTTGCAGCTATTGCAAGGATTAAATATTTTTGAAAACATTAAACTTATGATTTACTTGCGTATGTGTTTAAAAACATTGAAGCTATGATGATTTGCAGCTCAATTATTAGATAGTTATTTTATACATTTTTATTGTTCCTATGGGAGCTATATGATATAGTCGTCCGATTTTGATGAAATTTAAACCGTAATTCTGAAATATTTAACCATTGCTATATGTCGAAGAACTAAACAAAAAATTAAAAAACAGCAAAGTTATAATTTATTTTCATTTATTTTTCCGATTGTTCCTATGGGAGCTATATGCTATAGTCGCCCGATCCGGCTCGTTCCGACTTGTATACTACCTGCGATAGAAAGACAACTTTTGGGAAAGTTTCATGCAGATAGCTTTAAAACTGGGAGACTAGTTTGTATATAAACGGACGGACAGACGGACAGACGGACATGGCTAGATCGACTCGCCTAGTGATGCTGATCAAGAATATATATACTTTATAGGGTCGGAGATGTCTCCTTCACTGCGTTGCAAACTTCTGACTAAAATTATAGTACCCTCTGCAAGGGTATAAAAAAAATTATAACTTTGCTGTTTTTTAATTTTTTGTTTAGTCCTACAACATATAGCAATGGCTAAATATTTCAGAATTATGGTTTAAATTTCATCAAAATCGGACGACTATATCATATAGCTCCCATAGGAACAATAAAAATATATAAAATAACTATCAAATAATTGAGCTGCAAATCATCATAGCTTCAATGTTTTTAAACATATACGCAAGTAAATTATAATTTTAATTTGCTTTCTTTCTTGTTTAATTTATTTCCGATATTTTAATTATTATAATTTAATGCAATTAAATTTCAATACTTCAAAGGCTTGCTTTTTATACCCTTGCAGAGGGTATTATAATTTCAGTCAGAAGTTTGCAACGCAGTGAAGGAGACATCTCCGACCCTATAAAGTATATATATTCTTGATCAGCATCACTAGGCGAGTCGATCTAGCCATGTCCGTCTGTCCGTCCGTTTATATGCAAACTGGTCTCTCAGTTTTAAAGCTATCTGCATGAAACTTTCCCAAAAGTTGTCTTTCTATTGCAGGTAGTATATAAGTCGGAACGAGCCGGATCGGACGACTATAGCATATAGCTCCCATAGGAACAATAAATAAAAAAAAATTATAACTTTGCTGCTTTTTAATTTTTTTCTTTAGTTCTTCGACATATAGTAATGGTTGAATATTTCAGAATTTCGATTTAAATTTCATCAAAATCGGACGACTATATCATATATATATCATTGTTTTCTGATGTTAATAAAATTAAAAGCGTATTTTTGAATTTATTATTATTATTATGTTCCATTACTATGTACAAACGAAATTAAAAAAAAAAAATTAAAAAATTTAAAAGTCATATTTTGTTTAAAAATTTTTTTTATTATATTGATAATTCTAATAGGAGCTATATGTTACAGTCGACCGATTTTAATAAAATTAAAACCGTAATTCCGTAAGAATAAAAAAAAAATTAAAAAACAGCAAAGTTATAATATTTTTTCATTTATTTTCCGATTGTTCCTTTGGGATCTATATGCTATAGTAGTCCGATCCGGCTCATTCCGACTTATATACTACTTGCAATAGAAAGACACCTTTTGGGAGAGTTTCATGCAATCGGACGGATGGACGGACGGACAGACGGACATGGCTAGATCTACTCTCCTAGTGATGCTTAACAAGAAAAGAACAATAGTTTACAATTTTAAAAATATCCTAAGAAAGCGGCAAGGTCCGATCTAAAAAAGATTTTGAGTGGCAACGTTCTAAATAGCGACCGCTCGCAGGCATACACCGTTGCACCTGAAATTTTAACCGCGTTTATTTCGAAATTAAATTTTTGAAAACTGCTGACATCATAACTTGCCTACAAAATAACCGCCCGTTTTGAAATTAATCATTTTGAATGGGTACTACCTACAATGCCCTACAAACTTTTGGATTGGTTGAAATTTTTCCATTTGGCAGAATTTAAAAAGTCATTTTTTCACACCAATATTCGACTTTTATTTTCGAACCGTTGATATTTGATATTTTTAAAGATTGTAGGATATAATAGGGGAAATATACTTAGCTTTCATAATCATTTTGAATTTTTGTAACTTCAGCCATTCATTCGACCGGAATCATATCAGCAGTTGAAATACTTTTTTTGGACTCTCTGTAGTCAGCCCATAGTCTCGTTATATTTCCATATTTTTATAAAACAAATATATTAAAATAAAGTTGAAAGCTTGCCCTGTTATGTGCAAAAAATTTCAGGCCATTTTACTAAATACTTTCCTTAAAAATGTTCAGAAATTGAAGATTTGAATACTCAAATTGGGGATATTCTCATATTGTGAGCAGCCTAGCCCTTGGGTATATCCCAAGTGCATGGTGCAGCGCTAGGGTGGTCTTCATCCCCAAGATCGGGAAGAAAGACATCACCAGCCCAAAGTCCTTCAGACCTATCAGCTTAACTTCGTTTTGTCTCAAAACGCTGGAAAAACTGGTAGACTACAACATCAGAAGAACAGCTCTCAGAGACTGTCCGCTGCAAAACACACAGCATGCATATAGAGCAGGCCGTTCAACAGACACTGCACTTTATCAACTATGTCGCACCCTAGAAGGGGCAATTGACAGCAAAGAAATAGCTATCTGTGCCTTTCTAGACATAGAGGGAGCCTTCGACAACACATCACATGATGCAGTTCGAGCTGCCCTGTCCAGAAGGAACATAGACACTACTACGAGCAAATGGATTGGCAACCTACTTGAATCCAGGCAAGCAACATGTACACTGGGTTCGGAAAGAGTAACAATCGCTACCAGCAAAGGCTGCCCGCAAGGAGGAGTACTGTCCCCTCTGCTATGGAGCCTGCTAGTAGATGACCTTCTCAGCAAGCTTGCTGGAAAAGGAATTCAATGTCAAGGATACGCCGATGACATCGTGATAATCGCCAGAGGCAAATTTGAAGCGACACTCTGCGACATCGTCCAACTCGGACTAAGGACAACGCTAGACTGGTGCAGGGAGGTTGGACTCAACTTAAATCCTGCTAAGACAGTCATCGTTCCTTTCACAAGGAAGTACAAACTACAGAGAATGAGACAAATCTCACTGCTAGGAACTCCTATAGAAACTAGCCGAGAGGTTAAATATCTAGGAATCACTTTAGATAGTAAACTGACTTTCGCTTCCCATGTCCAAAAGACATTGGAAAAGTGTTACAGAGCACTCTATACCTGTCGGAAAATTGCTGGGAAATCCTGGGGAACCAGGCCTCAGATAATACGATGGCTATACTTAATGATCGTGAGACCAATCCTCACTTACGGAGCACTTGCATGGGGCAAACGAGCTAAGCTCATCAGCATGCAAAACCAGCTAGGAAAACTACAAAGACTTGCCTGCGTATGCATGACAGGGGCAATGAGAACCTGTCCTACAGCTGCCTTAGAAGTTTTGATGGAGCTAACACCACTCCACTATGTGATTGATATCCAACGCAAAGCTACACTCCTGAGAATAAGCACTGAGGGCACAGGTAGTGGTTGCATTCTAAATAACAGGGATGCGACTAATTTGTTAGGTGAGGTGCCCCTAATACTCCACCCTAGGGATGAAATGACAGCCGAACTAATCTTCGAGCAGAACTTCACAGCACACCTAGGCAATAAGAAAGATTGGGCCACACTGTCTGAAGTGCATCCGATGGCTAAACATGGATCCCTGACACAACAAGGCACGGGCCTTGGAGTGGTAGGGCCTCGCATAAAATACCACGAATCCTTTGGCCAATTCACCAGCATATTCCAGGCTGAGGTATGTGCC